AAGAGAGAGAGAGAGAGAGAGCGAGAGAGAGAGAGAGAGAGAGAAAGAGAGAGAGAGAACATAAACGCACTGGCACACGTACAAACACTCACATGCATACCTACATACCAATATATTACACCCTACCACGCACGCACTCACAAACGTACGGACATATAAGGTAGATGCATGCCTGTCGTGTCTGCGTGCGCTACCATAACCCCACTGACTGAGTGACGTCTCCAGTTCCGCCCACAGCGCTACCGCCACAACATTAGAGGCAACCGCCCCCGGCGGCTAGTGCGCATGCGCGCGTAGCACTAACAAACTAGTTCTAGCTTTTTCGCGGAACTGGGTCATAAAGTTAGTAATCAACGTTTCTCGTTAACTCCGCGCCCGGGGGATAATATATAAAGCTTCCAGGTGCTGCCAGGAGATAGCAAGAGTGAGAGAGAAGGGGTTGGAGAGAACGAAAAAAGTGAGGAGAGATGAGGGAGGAAGAGTGGGAGAGACGGAGAGAAAGAAATAGCGAGAAACAGAAAGAGAGAGACAGAGAGAGAGAGACGCAAAAAGAGGGAGCGAGACAGAAAGAAGAGAAAGATAAATACATAGAGAGAAAAAGAGAAAGAGAAAGGGAGAGCGAAAGAGACGCAAAAGAGAGAGAGAGAGAGACAGACAGAAAAAAAGAAAGAGAAATACATAGAGAGAAAGAGAGAGAGAGGGCGGGATGGAGAAGGGCGAGAGGGCGAGAGAGAAGGCGAAAGAAAGATAGAGAGCGAGACAGTGGTGGGGGAGGGGGAAGGAAGAGAATGACACGGCTGCATCGACCGGTTCTCAGCCGTCCCACCTGTCTGCTCGCATTGTGCGTAACTCGGCGTTCACCGATTACACGGATCAACTGCCGGCAATGAGCAACACCTCGGAACGAGGAAAACAATGCGAGAAGAATGGCGACCGGCAATGACGCCCGACCGGCGATCAAAAACGATTACGCCGACGTCGTTCCATCGAGTAAACAAAAGGTGGGCGAGCGGATCGTTACCATAGACGTGTGTACCTCTCTTTCCGTATGAACCGACCGTGGTTTTAACGAGTCGCTATCATATTGACTCGGCCGCGGGCAACAATATCGTTTAGGGCAGCGGATGCAATAAAAGCAGCAGAGACGACGGCGACAACGATGACGATAGACAGACGCTGACGATAGCAGTGGATGGACGACGCGATCGACGTGCGGCGTTAGTTAGTAGTTCGGACGCATTTCTTACCTGGCGCTGTTCCCGCGTTGGAGGTTCCGACGGTGCCGAGCAAGCACTGAGGTCTGGACAGCATCATGTTGGCAGCGTGGTAGTAGTAATTGGGGAAGAACTCCGACATGCCATCGTGCACCGTCGACCGTGCTATGGTGTTCCTGTCGTCTGCAACCAGCGATATCAGAGCAAGTGTAAACAACTCGTCGGTAATATAGCGAATTGCGCGCGTGGGGGGCGAGGTGGCGGTGCTTCGGTCTGACGTACTGTCGTCTGCGAGAGCGCGTTCGGATTGTCTTCATTTGATGTAGCGTATCGATTATTTCTAATTGATTTATATTATTGATAGTAATTATTAATAATTATTGATTTATATGCTTGAATAGTGCAACTGTCCGCAAGCTGCTGCATGAGATTGCATGGGAGCCACGTACCGCGTTTTGATGAGAATGAACATATTTTGGCTTCGTCGCCGCTTGTGCTGTCCACATCTGACGATGAAAAGCCACTGTCGGCCGGACTGGCTGGTGATGTTAATTCTGCGGAAGTAAGAAAGACATGTTAATCTCACCGTTCCTCTAGCAGCCCCCCCTCTCTCTCTCTGTAAATCTCTCTCTCTCTTTCTCTATCTCTTTCTTTCTATTTTCTCTCTTTCTCTCTCTTTCTCTCTCTCTCTCTCTCTCTCTCTCTC